CCCCCCCCCCCCACACACACACACGCATACCGGTTGCTTCTGGGTGGTTCTTTTTCAACTGGGTGGTTCTCTTTCAAGAAGAGAATTGATCAACGACAAGATCAATCCGTCTACTTGAAAACTACCAGGTGAGTCTCCACCTTTGCTTTGGAAGGGTTTCACCATTTGCATTGCATGTTCCTGAGTCATAAGTACCAGGTGCTGAACTCCCCCAATTGTAGGGAGAAACCACCCTGATGTCTATCGTAACTCACCTGTGCCGAGCACTGCTCGTGCTCCCCATTAAAAGCAGGGCGAATAATGACTCATGAGCAGACCGGATGAAATTTTTCGAATTTTTTAGAGAGATTTTTTTGAATCTTTTTCAAATCTCTTTTTTTTGGCTGATTCCTCTCCAAGCAGGAGCTCACGAGCATAGAATATTCGCTCCCCGCTGTCAGATCATTGGCTCGGTGACAATCCTTTGATTTTTCCACGATTCCTGATTTCCCCGCTCTGATGCATGCCCCCATCAAAAACCACGGATCAACAGTAGGCTTGCAGTTTCGACGGGACTCGAACCAGAGATCAGGCAACATGCACAGGACTTTGCCGAGCGCCCCCCCCTTTCAAAAAAGGAGGACAGATGACCCGCGCAAATGCAATGCCCAAAAACGCGCGCGCTTCTTTCTTTTGCTTTTTCTTTTTCTTTTCTTTTTCTTTTTCTATTTTTTTCGTGTTGTTTTTTGCTTTTTTCCTGTTTCCTTTTTTCTGTCGTCTGTACCGTGTCACTTGTCCTTTCGTCCTTCAACAGAGGTGCCTATGAGCAACTTCAAAGACACTCCCAGGCCAGGAATGTATCAGGTCCTGGGCAACCCCCCAGGTACACATCTAAGGACGATTAACTTTCCTGATGAGACCGCCGACCCTAGCAAGTGCTCGCCCAAGCAGAGGTACTACGAGTCCACGCGACTTACGAATTGAGAAAAGCACAGCGAAGAGTATATAATGAAAGGGTTACGGGCACTGTGAGCAGGACATCATTGCATCCTATGTCGAGCCAGCGATCTGAAGTGACGAACGGCTCGGGCGTCTTTTTCGGGAATCTGCAGCACGGCCTTCCATTGCTTTCGAAGGTTGGACCAGCAGGATGGACTTCCATGTGGACTTGGACCTCATCGACGAGACAATCGAACCTGAGGAGCTGGTATAATCCACACTCCACGCCAATCCTTGCGTCGGATACCCTGATCCGCTACCTACGCAAGACGGCCGGTGTCATGCTGCTAGCCTCTTTCCTTATTTGCACTGCGCTTCTTTGGCCACCAACGCTCCAGCATGGCTCGTGACTCCGAAGCAGA